GTTATAATTTTTGAAATGTAACTGCCAAAAGTAATACTTTTAAAGATATATTCAAATAATTAATTTTATTTTTAATATGTGGTGATAAATTAATTTTAAATTAAATTTATTTTTTAAATTAAATTTATTAATTTAAAATTTTGTGAAAATGTCTGATTGTTATAATTTCCTGTTCAAATTGATTTTCTTTTCTTAAATTGTTACATTGCTGCTGGGCTTCATAATTTTGTAAGCAAATTTAAGTAATTTAATAAATTTTAATATTATATTTATTTACAAATGTAGCACAATATATTTTTCCCCGTCAAGTAACAAGCATTGGAACTTCATATCATACGTAATAAAAAAAATTTTAATTTAGTATAAGGAAAAACAAAGACAGATTATTTTAGAATTTAATATTAAATTATTAATCATTACTTACAAGAACCAAGTCTAACAAAAGCATAAGCACATTACTCAAATTTTAAAAAATGATTGCTTTCTGAAATTTATTTTTTGGTCTAGCCTGAATTTTTATTTATAATCAAATTATATATAAATTAGACACATTTTAGAACTGTATGTTTCACTCATTAATTGATTATTCTATTCCTAATTTAGATAGTGTTATTTATATTTATCTCCTAGATAGAAACAGAATACAATATGAATTCTGAGTCAGATGATGAAGAAATTATACCTTCTCCTTCTACAATAATTGCAAAAAAGGACCTTCCTTGGCCAAGTTTTGAAAAATATTTTGAATTCCACAAAGAGAAGGCTGGTAGTAATACTAATATTATTGTCAAATGTCTCTTATGCCTACCATATAAAAAGTATATTGCAGCATCTAAGTCATCCACAGCTAATTTATGGAAACATATCTCTGTAAGTTTACATAAATTGTATTAATATTATATAGAATAATTAAATGAATTAACTTTATAAGAATAATTAATATTAATTAAATATTTATATATATAAAACATATATCTATAGAGAAAGCATCCTAACCAATCCGTAAATATAAAACAAACCATAGATAATAAAAAAATTAATTCAGCCACATCAAGTAAGTTAAAACAAACTAAACTTGACTTGGTGGAAAATCAAATTTTAAAGGTATCAGCAAAGATAAATTTGATTCACAAATTATTAAATATATAATAAATGGAAATCACCCATATACAACCTGTGATGATGAAGATTTTGTTGAGCTGATAAACACCCTGCAACCTAATATGAAGATTATATGCAGACAAACCTTAACCTTAAGAATATCAAAATATTTTGTTCAAATGAAGGATATTCTAATAGAAAAATTGTTAAAGCCTAATTATGTTTGTACAACAGCTGACTGCTGGACAGCATTTAATCGGTAAATATTATTTTTTACTAAAGTGCACAATACATTTGGTTATCTTTTGTTATATTAATAATAGCTCCTATATTGGTACAACAGTACATTGGATTGATGTGGAGAAATTGGAAAGGCGTTCAGCTATTCTAGCCTGCCAAAGACTACAAGGTAGGCATACATTGATGTGATCAGCAAAGCCTTAACTGCTGTTTTTAAGGAGTTCCATATCCAAAATAAAAATATCTGCACAATAACGGATAATGCAAGCAACTTTTCAAAGGCGTTTAGGTATGCCTAACTAATTTACTTTATAAATTATTTCTCTTAGAGTATTTAGCTGCCCATCTATTATAATGGAGGAAGATTCTGTTTCTGATATTGAATATATCTCAATAGAAAATATAATGTCTTCTTCTGGGCTCTCCAGTTATGATATTAATGACTTCGACTACCTTCCCAGGCATCGAAGATGTTCTTGCCATACATTAAACTTAGTGGCAACACAAGATGCCAACAAGTTACTTTTAAACAATGAGGGGTATAGGAAAGTTTATAACTTAGCTATATTTAAATGCCAACGTTTGTGGAACCTCCAAAATAAATCTGGGCCATCCGCCGAACTTATTAAAAAAAAATTACATTCTCAACTCCCATATCCCGTTATAACAAGATGGGCTTTTATAAATCCCTGGCCAAAATATTATCGTTTTTAAATTAAGTGCCTGTGGAATTTGATTCATTATGTGATGAATTAATTGTGTAGATTCACATCAGATGATCGTGATTTTATTAAAGAATCTTGTAGTGTAAATTTAAATTAATGTCTTATAAAAATTTACAATTTAAAAATTAGATTATGCAACCAGTGTCCAAAGCTATTGATATTCTTGAAGGGGAAAAATACATGTATCTGGGTTATTATACCCCAACAATAACACAAATATTTATTTGTATGGCAGCTGTGCTGGGATTAAAATATTGTCAACCTCTAAAGGATACTATATTAGCTAGTATTGAAAAAAGGTAACTTAAATCAAATAATTATTTATAAATTAATAATATCATGTTATAGGTTTAATAATCTTTATGATAATGACAACATCATTGCTGCAATTCTTCACCCTTTATTTAAAACTGACTGGCCTTGGATTAGGCAAGAAAGGAATAAAGCAAAAAAGGAGAAAATTTTAAATTTAATAAATACCTTAATACCTCAAAGTAAATCCCAGATGAATGAATCATGCTCAAAACCAACATCACTTGATTTAGTTGGATTTTTTGACATAAAGCGCCAAAATATTCTGGATAATGAACTTATAGAAAACTTTATCAAATCTAATAACAACAATTTTCCTTTATATAACGATTTTCCAAAGTTAAAATTACTCTTTATTAAATATAATGTTGTTCTAACATCAAGTGTTCCCGTAGAGTGCTTGTTCAGTCTAGGTAAGCTCATTTTTGGAGATAAACGAGCACGTCTCCTAGATAATAACTTTGAAATAATTTGTTGTTAAAAGCAAATAAACATTTATTAGATTCTAATTTTTATGAAAAATAAATGTTTTTTTTTTCAATGCAAATATATATTTTTATATTCGATGTAAATATTTAATTTTGCGATATTTTTTTATATAAATAAATTGTATATTATTTTATATAACTGATTATACTTTGTTTATCCTAATTTTTTTTATATTAAATAAATGCATTCAATAAATAAATAATGCGCATATGAATGATGTATAAAGTAAGTAACTAGTACTTTTGAAAATAACTGTAACTAATAACTAGTTACTTTTGTAAAAATGTAACTAGTAACTGTAACTAGTTATATTTCAAAAGTAACTTTTAACATCACTAATAATTTGTAGATATATCCTTTCACTGTTGTGGATCTATTATCGTTATTTTTTTGTCCAATCAATTCAGCAAAAATTCAAGTAAAATATATTACTGCTCTGATGGATCAGCTGCGTAATATAAAAACAAATTTTTTTTATAAATCTATGTTATCATGAATCAGATTTTGGGTTTCAGCTATATCCCATGGAAAAGGTCCATGTGATGGCCATGGCGGAACATTGAAAAGATTAGCAACACGTTCAAGCCTTCAGCGCATCTGTTCTGGACACATTTTAACACCAGTTGATTTATATCAGTTTGCAAAACAAAACATGCCATTAGTAAATTTTACATACCAAAGGATAATACAATTTAGAAGAGATTAAACTATGAGATAGATTTAATTTAGCTCGCCCCTTCCAGGAACTCGCGAAATACATTATTTCCTTTGAGTTTAAGTAAACTTAAATCAAAAATATATTCATATGCAGAGGACTTTGGAATTAACAATATCTCAAATGTCGATAATTTGTCTTTTGCCAATATTAGAGGATTCGTAACATGTGTTTATGACGATTTTTAATGGTTAGCCACAGTACTAAAAAAGAATAAAATAACTGAGGAGATATATATTATCTTTTTACATCCACATGGACCATCAACCCCACAATTGAGGAAAAGATATGGTTGCCTATTAATCAAATAATAATGATAGTAGATCCCATAACAGTGACAGGTACCTAGAAGTTATCGCCTCAGGAAGCTCAAAATGGGATAAGATTAAAAAAGAGGTATTTTTTATAATTGTTTGTATAAAAAATTTTAAAATATAGCGTGCTAATCATATCCGTATGGGGTGCTTCTTTATTTACTGCCCCAGGACATCATATTGGTTATACTTAATCGATTTTTTTAATTTTGATAACAATATAATTTAAAAAAATTTAATAAAACAGCCATCTATATCTTTTTTGATTTATAAAAATAATAAAAATTTTAATAAAATTAAAAAAACAAAAATGGCTATTGAGATTTTTTATTAAAAAGTTTAATATAAAGGTAATAAACATTTTTAGAGAATATCAATACCCAAAAAAATATCCCTTCCTAGCATTTTTTATTTTTACCGGAAATACGAAAACACTTGAATTTTTTAATTATTTTTCAATATTTTCCAATGTAAAAATTTAAGCGCTATAAAATGATATATTATTTGTAACTCTATCTTAAGTATTTTTTAAAAAAAACAAGATTTAATGAAATCACGCATTACGCGATTTCCGACTTTGAAGGCGTATATCTTAGGATCTGGTTGAGCAAGGCGCTCTAAAATTTGGATTTTATTAACATTTACAACATAATAACTAACATGCCAAATTTCATTCATTTTTGAGATGGTCGACCGAATCACTGGTCGATTATTAAATATATTTTTTTTATCTATTATAATATTTTTTTTTAAATTATAGTCTTCTTAATAGTAGAAATAAAAATTTAAATTAAATGCATCATTCGATTTTTTGCATACAAAATATTGATTTCATAATTACATTTGGTTCAAAAAGAAATCAGTATAAATATCGGATCGGTATCGGATCGGGTTTGAACCAATATCTAAAAATATCGGATCGGTGAAAAATATGTGAATCAGCACAGCCCTAATTTTTACATGTATCTATAAGTATATGTTAGAAAATACCTAGTTTTGATATTAACGTGAATCTATTTAATAATTATAAAAAAGTTAATTGTTAATTTATCCTTATGCAACATTATGAACAATCCTATTTATAAAAATTTATGTATAAATTACCTTTTTGCAGACATTTAGACGCAACGGATAGCCCTGTAGCCTGGCCGGCTATGTTTGTTCCTTTTTTGGCATTTTTGAAGCCTTCGACACCGCAACTGCTGTAACACAATTGCTGATAGCCTTCACTCGAAGTATTATTGCCTAATGACGAGTTACTAGAATTAGTGTTGAGTAGATATGAACTGGCTGAAACTGTAGGATCTCTAACATCTATTATGGTATTGTTGTAAGAGGCCTTAATAAAAAGTTAGTAATTATAAGTTATAGCATAATAAATTAATATATTATCGAGCTTATCAGCCTGACCCATCCAACCGATCCAGATTTTTAATTCCAGGCTAATCCGGTCTGACTTGTTAATAATAAAGTCCGAGCCCGATCCGAACTTAACGATAAGTTTATAAGGAAAGCCAAAAAATTATAGGTACTCAAGGAAAATAAAATATTTTGTTTTTTCCATAATTTTATATAAATGCACAAAAAACATATATTTAATTTCTGCAGATGTCCAAATGGACTCCTGTATCTGTACATTTCTTAAATATATATAATTTCTTAATACTTTCCTTCTCTCTAATGAAATGTTTTTTTTAAATTTGGTTTTGAGTGAATTAGAAATTAAATTTTTTGCTCTCATACCTTGATAAAACAAATGGGAATTTCAGAAAAAGAAACTTGTTGAGGTTGGTCACCTTCTTCAAATGTTTGACTGAGAGTTTGGGAATCCCTGATTTTTTTTTTGATAGATGCATATTCAATTAAGGTTCAGTAAATATTCATCAATGAATAAATTGAAATAATATCCATTTTTATTAAGGATATGAATAATATCAATGGTTTATTTTTACAAAATTAGTTTAACTATAAAGACGCGGTAGAGTATTATAAGATTATTCTGAAAGAAAATCTTGTTTATTGTTAATATAATGACCATTTTTGTTTCTAGTGTCCTTATTTTCACAAAATGGTTAACATAATCATGTGCCTAGTTAAGTATTCCAGGGTTAAATCAATTAAATTAGAAGGTAATATAGCCTACAAGCTACCAAATATTATATGACGTAATGTAACCATGTCCATAAAATATCCTTTATTTTATTAAAATATTATGCATAAATTAAGCTATTACATCAAAATAAATCACATTCAAAATAAAATCTATAAAATTTAAATCATAACACAAGGTTATTTATAAATTATATTAATATTTAAATCATTTTAAAAAGCGTTTTTAAATAATAAATTGAAAATGTGAGTTATCAACATAATTCACAATTTTCATATTTTAAATTAAAATTTTTATATGGATTTTCGGTAACTCATTGAAACTCGGGGAAATTTTTAAAATTTTATTTATTTAAAAATAATAAATATGCGATCGTGTGGATATCGTTGGAAATTTTTTGATGTAATAATAATTTAAAGTAGAGATCTGCAAAAGTGGGTCGGGCCTTGGAAATTTTTTAAATATATCTAAATTAATTAATTTTAAGTTGAATTTTTTATGTAAAATAAAAATATTTGATTTTATTTATAGAAACTAGACGATATATCTTTTATTTTGATTAATGTTGTTAAACGGCTCGTTTTGAGCCGTTTTTAAAAAACGGCTAACTCAATATTTTAGCCAGAAAAATATTGCCTAAGCCTCGAGATTTCTCTAATAGATGTCCAAAACCTTTGTTTCTTCTGCAAGCAAAATCTTCTAGCTTGCTTGATAGTATTCTGGATGGAATATTGAGTTAGCCGTTTTTAAAATTCGGCTCAAAACGAGCCGTTTAACAACACTAATTTTGATTAATTATAAAAATTAATTTCTATATTTAAATAAATTCGGGCCAGGCAGGTAATTTTTTTTTAAAAAAATTCGGGTTCGAGCGGGCCGGCAAAACTTTTAAAAAAAATTCGGGTTCGGGCCGGGCTGAAAAAACTTTTTTAAAAATTCAGGCCGAGCTGGGCTTGAAAAATTAGGCCCGATACAGATCATTAATTCAAAGTATCATTACTCAAAAGTTTTAAGAATTATATATTTTTTTCTTATGAAAATTTTCAAAATTCTTTAATTTTACATTAAAAATAGAGAAGGCGTGTACTATATTAAATGCTACTAAGTTAGGAATATAATTTTTTTTTGTGAAAATTTTCACAATTCTTTAATTTTACATTAAAAGAGTATATAATTTAAAATCTTAAAAAGGCGTGTGCCATATTGGAGGCTACTTATTAAATAAAATACTAGATAATTAAGCAATTTATTTGAATAAACATAATATGTAAACAATGATAATATTAGATACATATAATTTAAAAAAATTTTATATCATTTAAAAATTTAATATATTTACTTAAATTTGACATATTTTTAATATTAGGAAAATAAGAATATTCACATAAATGTGAGGAAGATTTTCTTCCTGTTCTGGGGGTTCACGCCTTAATATCCCTTCATAAAAGCTCAATACGTTGAGTAAATCAATATATATTTAGGTCTTATCATTTATTGTCCTTATTAAACATTTGCCCAATTATATAATAATTTTAATGTATTCTAATTTTGGATATAAGATTTATAAATAAATTTTTTTTTAAATATTTAATAAATATAAACTTGAATTAATATTATACATCTGAATAATAGGCGTAGCCAGTGTGGTAGGGCGTCATTCCTTTTGGAAATTTGCCAGTTTTTGTTAATATGATTTAAAGATTCCTCCTACACTCACCCCCCCCCCTCAAATATAATATGCTGCTATAAACAACAATTTAAATAAGTAAGATAACAATTATTTTAAATAACAATTATAAATTTTCAGAAAAAAGCAGCTTAATGTTAAAAAAATAAAAAGTTTAAAAAACCAATATTTATTTTATAAAATGCAACCTGGGCAAAGAAATGAAATAAAATTAATGAAAGTGAAATCACCTAATACCCCCCCCCCTGCCAGCAAAATTCTAGCTATGTCTTGATTTGAATTAATCTTAAGATTTAACATGCACATATTTATATTAAACATGGTATAAATAATTATAGAAATTTTTTAATATTATTAAATTTAACAAAAAAATAATTCTGTAACTGTTTTTTAATTATATTAAAAAAATAATATCAGGATTATCACATTCATAACACATAGAATGTAATAAAATTTAATACTTAATTCATGTTCAAAATATAGTAAATAAGGTTTAATAATATGCTATAGCAAAAATTGATTTAACAATACATGAATAGAATTTATTTAAAAATCATGATTTTTATTCAAAAAATTATCTGATTAAAATATGATTTAAATCAATTTGATTTAGTCAGGGCGTTCTTTCTTAGGATATTTATAGTTATTAATTGAAAGTTAGAAGATAAGTTTTAAATCATAAATTTGGGATAAAGGAACAAAGATAAAATAATAAAAATTAGTTTACATTTTATTTTTATAATTTGTAGGGGAGACCAGAGCTAATCGGGAAAAGGGGCATGTTGTTTAAAACCAGTAACGTTTATAAATTAAAATTTTGTTCTAAAATAGAATATGGTATCCATATTTGGGTAAGAAAATAATTTATATTTAAATTTCTTATTTGTTATGACTTATTTTTGACGTAAAAATTACAATATTTTCACTTTACATGATTAAGTTGTAAAAAAAATTAAAGATTTAAACATGGCAAAATGGATAATATATAAAAGTTAACTCTTTTTAATATTTAAGAAAATTTCAGATTAATATGTAAGGCGTAAATATATGTTAAGATCATATTAGTAATATTATCACCATTGGGGTTAGTAGAATTGTGGCTTGTCGGCGCAATCAATCAATTTTTATAATATTACTATGGTCAAATATATAAAAATTCCAAATAAGATAATTTTCACCATAAAAGATTATGCAAAAGCAATAAAATTGAATGAAAATTTTATGTCATCAAGAAAAGTAACATCTATTACAAGTTAAAATATAATATTTATAAATTTAATATATAAAATTATAATTAATATATAAATTTATTATTGTAATTTTTAAAAATACATTTAAATTTTAATATAATATCAGATCTAAATAAATATATTGAAAACTAAAATCATCATATATATTGTGATTAACATATTATTTGATCAGATATGAACATTTATTTACCATATATAAATATGAGCCTGATACTAAGATCAATTATTTAAAATGAATTATATCTAGCAAACAAAGATTTTCATATATATATATACATATATTGTAATTGGCAATATATATATGATTCAAATTATTATATTTAAATAGATTTGAATATTTTAGTTATCAGGATATTTATTTTGGCCTGATAATAAGATCCAATTAATGTTATATATTTAAATATAGAGATAATTTTATATTATTTATTTTATTAGGTATACCTACTACAAATTTTTTAGGACATTATAAAAAATATAAAATGGCTGGCGCTATGCTCAAAATGTCTCAAGATAATAAACAAAATATATTATGAGGAAAATAAAAGATGTTTGCTTTATTATGTAAACAGGACTATAAAATTTTCATAATTTTGTTTGATGAGTGGTTTCAATGCAGAGTATATAAAGGTTGGGCAAATACGTCCTGTGCCAAAAAAGATTGCTATTTATTTGTTATAATTGTAAATAGAATATTATATAAATAAATGAAAATATGAAGAAATTTTATTTGTGTCTCATAAGAAGCCTAATTAACCAGTTAATTTTACTAGCCCCAGAGATGATCTAACTAACCAAAAATTACTAAATATTTAAAAAATATAACAGCATATTTATAAGAAATTGTTTAAGTTATTGATTGGTATTTTGCAAAATCTTATGCAATCATTATTTTCAGAACTATGATGATTTTGACAAAAATGTGTTGAGTAACCCTGGTCTCCCTATTAAAATGAGTTGAATAATTTACTATTTGTATTCGTTATTATTTTATTTGATAATTTTTGGAAACAAATATTCGCTTCATTTTTGAATGACTACAGAGAGCCAGCCCTAAAAAACGTTTAAAATAAATAAATAAAAAACATAGTACCACTCTCCTTTTTTAGGCGGTTTAGGTATATTGTATAGAGCATCTAAGGTGTCCTCGTTGGGAACCAACTTTCCTAATATCTCGGTAGCCCATAATAAATCTGACGATTTCAATTGTGTATCTTGTTTTATGTCGGTTATAATTATATTTTCGCTTTCGTCATGATATATAGTTTCAGTATCTAGAGAATGCAGCTAGTTTAAAAAAATAATTTTATTTAAAAGCTCCTCTAGTGATTTCTGGAAATTATTAGTATTTTAAAATAACTAACCACCTTTTTACAAATAAATCACTATTGTCATTTTTTAAAATGTTACTAGTAGTGTTGTTAAATGGCTCACACTTTTTTATTTTGTCCATAACTCACGAACGGCTCATTCCGCTGCTTTCCGGATAGAAGATCAATTAGGATCAATTAACGGGCTACACAATGCTATAGATTTCGGATATTGATCCTCAATCCGCCAGCTTAACTAATTCCGTCAACTTCACGTTTTTAAAACGGTTATAACTCGGTTACGGTTAGTTTTACAGATAAAAAACGGCTAATTCAATATTTTATTAGGATAAATATTATGCAAGCCTTAAGATATTGCTCATAGGTGGCACAAAGGTTTGAACATCTATTAACGAAATCTAGAAGCTTAGACAATATTTTTCTGGGTGAAATTTTGAGTTAGCCGTTTTTAAAAATAGGCTAAATCGAGCCGTTTAACAATACTATACTAGTAACTATAACTATATTTTTGGAATGTAATACAAATAGTTAATTTTCAAAATGTGTTAAATCTTTATTATGTATCTCAATCACATCTTTATATGAAGATTTCCAAAATAATATTGTTTAAATATAATGTCCCATTTACATCAATGAAGAAAGTTTTTTTAGTCTAGGGAAGTTTAATTTAAATTTAAAAAATATTTTATAGTTAATAAAGTCAAATAAAAATATATTAAGCTAAAATTTTTATAAAAAATAAATAATATGACAGACTTATTTTATATTTTTCAGTGCAAATAAATATTTTTAAAATGTAAATATTTCTTTATTTTCATTTTGCTCCATTTAAATTTCTTTAATTAAAAATTGTAAATAGCAAAAATATTTTGTATAATAAAAATATTATATAAAAATGCTGAGTAATTTTAATAATTTATAAAGTAATTTTTAATGCAACTACTTTAGAAATGTATCTGTAACTAGTTAAATGTTACTTTTAAAATTTAGCTAGTTACCTTTTTAAGATGTAACTTGTCCTAGTTACTTTTCAAAAAAATCTTATAACAACACTAGCAATTAAATAAATAAAAATATATATTGGAATATTAAGGTTTTAATTATAAATAATCAGAGACCTATGGAGGTAAAAATTTTTAGGCCAAATTGATATTTTTTTATTTCCAGTTCCTGGCTGATTTACTAGGATTTGAATTTCAAAGTATTTGATTCAAAAAAATTGTATTAATTATATATAAAATATGACAAATAATAAATTTAAATTTTACAGTTTGCAAATATTCACAATAAGATAAAAAAAATTAGTAATCAAATATAATATATTTTCTAGAACTTGTGCTATGGATATTTTTATTGTGATAATGTGTTTTATTTTAATTTTCTAAAACTAAAATAAGCAATTATAAATTGTAAAATTATGTACAGCAATCAGATTGAAATAAAATAATATGGATCTTCTACATCTTGTGAGTGTCTATTCTTATGGGCAAATTATGTAAAGACTACAAAATCATTTGACCAGAGCCCACCTATAGCCCAGTGGCAAATTTTTTTAAGCCTAACTTGGCACATGTTCCAATTCAGCTCATTTTATACATCATTATCGTAGAAAAAGAGGAGTTACCCCATGCAAAATATGATTAGATACAATTTAGTGTTTTCATATTACTTATATATTGATATGATATCTAAACAAAAATTTATTTTGTTTTCTTTTAAATTGCTAAAACCCCTCCTTAAATTTATATGTCCTCAGAAATTTCCTCTTTAAAAAAATGTGGGAAAGAAATCCCAAAAATCTATGAATAAGAAAATATCTCTAGCAATTAAAAATGTGCATATTTATTCATTTTATTTTTGCAAAATCTATAAATAATATAGAGAATTGAGTGTATTTGCAAAATTTGTTAATTTTTTTAGGTATATTAATAAATTAGCATTGTTTTGACAAAATGTGTGCATTTGAACATATTTTTTAATTACCTGCAAAGATATAGACTAAATACTATAAACATTTAATTTTTTATGAAATTTTCAAAGAAAAAATTTATAATAAATTATATAAGAATTGAAAAATGGGACGCTCCTCAAAAATACTATAATTTATATGGGAAAATTTTACTTTTTCAATCAAGTGTAAGAACACACTTAGTATTACTTTATTAAACATTTGCTCAGTCTTAGCACTTGAGGGTAAAAAATAATATATAATAATTGTTTATAATTTTATCTCAACCAATCTTATTTTAAAAATGTCAAAAGTCTATTTGATTACTTTTTTATGCCTTACTACTAAATCGAATATCAAGCGGCAAAAATAATTATATTTAGCATATTAAAGCAATAATTTCGATAATTACATCTTTTTAAATCATGATAAATATTGCTCCTAAATAATATTGCTATTTTATAAATATAGAGGTATAAAATAAAATTATGTTCATAATTATTTAATTTAAACCAAAAAAGGGGGTGCAAATATCACTGATATAAAGTAGTACATAAATTGATTAATTGAATAATTTTTCATTTACCAATCCTGACTTTTTGAATCAATAAAATAATGAAATTCATATCATATTAGTCCTAATGTATAAACAATATAAATTACTTAAAATTTAGAAGAAACTGAACAGTATTAGAATCTCTCTCTAGTAAATTAAATCTAATTATTTATCAAGTCAAAGTATAAGCTACAAAAAGATATTAAAGAATAAAGATGGAAAGCATTAAAATTAAATGAATTGCATATTTTAAAACTAAAAATGATAAAATATATAGGTTCTGATATATAATAAAATATTATTTTGTATTTACATAATAGGTTTGTAAATTTAATTATTTTTGGACCCATGTGAATTTAGTTTAATTCTAAAATTACTTTTTCAATATTGGCCAACGTTATTAAATCATGATCCTCAGATATATGGACTCCATCATCTTTCGGTGATACACTAGATTTTAGATATTGCAGATCTTTATGCTTATAATGCAAAATAGATGCCGCAAATTTTCTTAGATGTTGAATATCATTATAGTTAATTTTGCAATATTTTATAAATTTTTAACATCGTTTCACTAGTTTTGTTAAAATAAGAATTATTTCAAATTTGACAGTTAATCATGTCAAATTATAAAAAAAAAAAGGGATCATCATGCAATTTTAGATATTTATTTTGGAAAATTATCAATATATCTCTGCTCATCGAGCTTTCTTCATACCCTCCAAATTCCGAGGATTTTGTATACATTCCGTTCTACGAAAATCTTCCAATATAATATCATTTTCGATGTGCATAATGGGATTAACTGTCTCACAGAATAAATATTCAAATACATTTGAGAATCTATCTCTATCTTGGCTACATGCTACATTACTAACCAAATCAGGTAACATTGGCATAAGGTCCCCTCGCCATTACCCATTAGCGTCTTCATATCTTCTCGCCTGTCTTGAAGCCCATCATAGATATATTCACAAAATATCCTGACTCCTCTACAGCAATTGATTCCTGGAAATCTCTTAATATTCAATCCTCCCTCGTTAGCACGACATAAGGGCTGGGATAACCCTCTAGTTTTGACAATCCTTTAATTTCTATGCTTTTTCATTTAGGAATCTAGACCTGCGAAACAATAATAAGCTATATCACACCATTAGTCTTAGACTCAATTGTTAAATGGTTAACCCCATCACTGTATTTTCTGTCAAAAATCGGTTTCCAAAAACCATTACACTGCAAGCGGTTTATATGCAGAATTATAGGACATTCAAAATGTACTGATACTATAGCCAGGGTCTTATAATCTGCTGGCATACCGTCAACCCTTGAACCCACTGGCCTTTACAGTTCTTAAGGCAAATGCCATATAATTTTACACCGATCTCTTGGCAGTAGCGTCGCTGGGGAGGGGGGCAGGGGCTCCCTCCTGAAGCAAAAATTTTTTTTAAATGAAATCTTAACCCCTTGAACTAAAAATAAATTTTTTTGATTGCCACCTGAAAGATTTCTTTTATAATTCTATTAAATAATAGATTTAATTTTATTATTTAAAAAATAATAAAACTTTATGAATATTTATTAAATGAATACTATTTTAAATTTTAGATTAAATTAATTAATACACATAAATTATATTTTCACTATGTCAGCTAGCAATCAAATTTTGTGTTAAAAATATAATATCAATCACTCACTAAATATTAATATAGCATTAACGGTTGAAGCTTAATTGACTATTATTATTAAAATTATTTTATAACCCTAATTAAATAAATATAATCATTTATTAATTGAAAACTAAAAAATTTAATATTGTAATTAGCAGAGTTCAAAATGACTAATCAACTGTATATTTATTTTTAAATTTATATCATACCTATTCCTAAAAATATTTTCTAGGTCCAAATAAGTATAATAAAAAGTAAGTAAGTAAACATTTAGTTTATAATCCTCTATTATATACAGTTGTTTATAAAATATTAGATAAAATGCCATTTTTATAGACGAATTTGACAGTTATAATATATTACAGCTAATATTATAATGAAATTTACTAATAAATGCTTTTGATAATAAATATAGTAACAATTTGCTCACATGTATTTAACGCCATCTATTTAGTTATAAATAATTTTAAAATTAAACATTTTATTATTTATCCTACAATAGATGTAATAAATTTGATATCTTTTCTTTTTTACGATAGGAAAGCTATTTTTTTCTTTTTCAAAAAACAGTTTTGAATTAAATTTTTAATACAAGTATATTTTTGATATTAATTTTGCAAACTACTATTATTTTAAGATATAATATACCAACTAGAGGTGGTGCGATAATATATAAAATCTTAATTGTTTCATCATATCATTCTGACCCTTATTTTATAGTTCCAAAATGTTTCATTTCTAATATGGCATCCTTGCCGTTTAAATATCTCGAGGCTTCGGTGGCGTCGCTAAATGGAGGGGGGTGCGCAGGGGCTCGAGCCCCCTGAAAAATTTGAGCAGCCCCCTGAAGCAAAAAAAAAATTTTTTAATGGCTCCTTAATATCCCCTTCAACTAAAAATAAATTTTTTGATTGCCCACTGAATGATTTCTTTTATAATTCCATTAAGTATTATATATATATAATTTTATTATTTAGAAAATAAAACTATTTAAATTTTTATTAAATGAATATTATTTTAATTATTAGATTAGATTAATGCATATAAATTATATTTTCTATTTCAGCTTGCAATCAAATTCAGTATTAAAAATATAATATCATCAATAACTCACTAAATATTAATTTATCTTTAACAGTTGAAGTTAAATTGACTTTTATTATTTAAATTATTATTTAACCCTAATTAAATATAATATATATAATCATATATTATTTGAAAATTAACAAATTTAATATTGTAATTAGCCGAGTTCAAAATGACTAATCAACTGTATATTTATTAAATTTTATTATCATACCTTAAAAATATTTTCAAGGTCGTAGTATAGTTTATAATCCTCTACTATATACAGTTATTTATAAAATATTAGATATAATGCCACTTCTATAGACGTATTTGACAGTTATATAATATATTACAGTTAATATTATAATATATTTTACTAATAAATGGTTTTGATAATAAATATAATAACAAATTGCATTCAAGTATTTAACGCCATCTATTTAGATATAAATAATTTTAAAAATTAAACATTTTATTATTCATCCTGCAATAGATGTAATAAATTTATCTTTTCTTCTCTTTTTTCACGTGTTTTTAGGAAAGCTATTTTTCTTTTTCGAAAAACAGTCTTGAGTTAAATTTTTAATACAAGTATATTTTTGATATAATTACAAACTACTATTATTTTAAGATATAATACATCAAGGTGGTGCGACAATATGTAAAATCTTAATTGTTTCATCATATCATTCTGGTCCTTATTTTATAGTTAGAAAACGTTTCATTTCTAATATGGCATTGCCGTATAAATAAATCCAGTCTTCAATATATTTGCATAATTATTTCTTTCAAAGATTTTTAGTGTTTTTATTTTATCAATTTATCCAACATAATAAATTCTGATATTAGTTTACATCGTGAGTGTCATGGCTATTATTGCAAATTAACCAGCATCTATTATTTGTGTTGCTATGTAATTTAAGATTATTATTATATGTCTGAGGGCATATAATTGCATATTTTAGATAAACAATATAGGTCAACTGTGTAGTCGTTTATTTATCATTTAAAATGGAAGATAATCTTTTAGAAATTTAATTACTCGCAATAATTTTCTCGATTGCTTATCTAGCTTCCATCATGTCATCTAAGAGGAATCTCTAACCACCATATAGTTTTATGATTTGGATTGGTCGTTTATATTCTCTCCTTCAAAAATTGTTGATTGGGTTTAGGCCAATAAATTTCCTTATTAGTTCATTCTATAAAACATTGTCTAAAATAGTAACAGAGAGCTATACCAGTTTGATAACCTTTTGTCAATGTAAGTTGCTAAGAATTATATTATTGTATTATGTCGTTTTTTATATGCCAGTTTATTTTGTATGCATAATATAATAAATGACAAAATCTGAAAATCAGAATAATTGTTCAGGGTTAGCAAATTTTAAAAAAGTATAATATATTAATATAAAACCCGGCCGAAGCACGGGAAAAAGCGGCCGAAGGCCCGCTAATTGGGGGGGGGGAGGGGTATAGTGGTGGAGCCTCCCATAAAAAATTTTTATTTGAGCCCCCTGAGATTGTGAAGGCTAGCGACCCCCTGCAAGGCTTCAATATATTTGCACAATTATTTCTTCCAAAGATTTTTAGTGTTTTTTTATCAATTTATCCAACATAATAAATTCTGATACTAGTTTACATCGTGAGTGTCATGGCTATTACTGCAAATTAACAAGCATCTATTATTTGTGTTGTTATGTAATTTAAGTTTATTACTGCTGAGAGCATATGATTGCATATTTTAGATAAATAATAATGGTCAACTTTGTAGTCGTTTATATATTATATATCATTTAAAATAGATGATAATCTTTTAGAAATTTAATATCTCACAATTCTCGATTACTTATCTAGCTACCATCATGTCATCTAAAAGGAAGCTCTAACCACTTAATAGTATTATGATTTGGATTGGTCGTTTATACTCTCTTCTTCAAAAATTGTTGATTTGGTATAGCCCTATAAATTTTTCCTTACCAGTCCATTCTATAAATATGTAAAATGGTAACAGAGAGTTATATTAGTTTAATAACCTTTTGTCAATGTAAGTTGCTAAGAATTATATTATTGCATTATGTGGTTTTTAAAAACTATTATCAATTGAGGCATATGTATGAATTAATTAATCTTTTTTATCACTAGTAATTCTTTAGACATGTTGCATAAATGCGAAGGTAATTTTATCTAAATTTTTCCATCTCCTCTAAATTTAATACGTTTATTTAAGAGAAGCATTGTTTTTTATCTTACCTTTGAACAAATATAAGAGCATTACTAAAAGTTAATATAAAAATACTATATCCAATTCTCGCTCCGATTATGAAGGATTATTCTCCGACAGTCTAACAATTAGAACCTCTTCTACGCGATCAACAATTGATCCTTTTCCAACTAAATTCTATATAAACAATATCCTAAAATTCCTGGTACAAAATTAACGGAATGATTTAAAATTAATGCTTTTGACACATGTGCCAGACAATATATTTATGCCAATTTTGTACTATATAATGTAATGTGTGGAAACTCTCTCTAAACAGTGGGTATAAGTCAAAGTTTTAGTGTTAAGGTAATTGGTCGTATACGCACATTTTCACCTAAAGAGGGTGAGGTTTTTTAATTAAGACTCTTACTTAATTATGTAGCTGGGTTAACATGCTTTGAAAATTTAGGCTCCTTTAATGGAATTATCAGGAATACTTTTAAGATGCATGTATTCGATGTGGTATGTTATCTGATGATGTCGAATAAAATCATTGTTTAGAGGAAAGCCTCTCCTTTAAGATGCCGTAACAATTGCGCCAGTTATTTTCTATTATTTTATTACATTGTGAGCCTAGAGATCTTGTTGTTCTATGGCTTACTTTTAAATACCTTTGTGAAGATTTATTCAAATAAGATCACTACTGCAGGATAGCATTATCAGCGAAAATCTCGCACTATGCCAAATAAATCCAATTTTAATTCAAACTGGTAAATCTCTTAAGGAATTTTTGGGCATGCCTATCCCTTTATTATTCACTCAATCTCCATCGGCTACAGTTGATATTATGTGTTACCTTTTTCGGGAGGAATATTCCTACGATACCGATGATATGCGTAAAAAATATTTGGCAAACTGCAATTTATTTAATCGTGATCAAAATATTTTCTATAGCAAA